TATATATATATATATATAGAAACATTTATTACACACTTGGATTTGCTTTTATCGCAATTGTTACATTACATTTAACGAGAGTATATAATATTTCAAATTTAAACTTGGTATGCACTTGACGCAAATCCAATTGCTTTCATCGCACTTTTAAAGTATAGCTGTTTCAAAAAGTCGGATCACAGATTTAACGGAGTCTACATTCAACAGAATTCCGATTTTATATAATTTGTTGAATAGGCCAGCATGGCGTCGTCAAATCGACGCCGGATCGATAAATCACATTATTGAGCCAAGTCTTTCGATTATAGTTATATAATACCGCCTGCTCGACTCTGTTCTTATTGTCAGTCGACAGGACGTATACTTACGATTGAACGCCCACGGCGGATCAATCGATAATTAATTAAACGCGATTGCGGAGGAACGACAAACGTCGCGCTCCCGGAAGTTTCTACGAGAATACCGACAAGAATACCACCGTCTATCGTCTCTCCCGTACTTGTGGACTTCCTTGAGGAGTGTTTCGTAAACCCGCCGGCTGCGACGTTTGCCTTACATTGTCGTATTACATTCGAAACGGCTGACTCTGCCTTTAATCCTTAATGAACGAGCCGGTATTACGACGTAACTTTAATCGAATAAAGTTTCGATCGTCGTGGGTGCTGATTTGCAGAAATTATGGGGCTTACAAGAAACGGAAACTCCACCTGGTAAAGAAAGATACGATCGTGCGGAGATAATCCAATTATGCTGTGATGCCTTGGATATTCAAATAATTATTTAATCATCCGTCTGCAATCATATTTTTATTCCTTCCATTTGCAAAAATGAGTGTAAAATTTAAGAATGAAATTTCGTTTATATAAAAAAAGATCCAGATTGGATTAATTTTTTTAAGATGTGTTACAATTTATATATTCCGTTTTTATTTAATTCAGGGCTGCTTTCAAAAATTTCTTTTTACATTATTCTCTAAAAGATTCACTCTCTTTTAGAATGAATCTCATCATTCTTAGAGATTAAAAATTGAGTCACTCTTTTTCAAGACTGATACAATTTTCACTTTTTAGAGTAAGATTCCAAAAAATTTTTAATATAAACTTTCTTTAAGATACTAGTATTTTTTAGCAATTAGATCTTCCTTACTAACAAGAATTTATTCTAAGTCATGAAATTCAAGAATACATATGTAGACTTTATGTAATAAGTGAGATCTATCTATAAGAATAAAATAAATTGTGAGAAACGATCGAAAGAATTGTGCTTAAAATAATGTTTACATAATTTTTGTTTAGGTCACGTAATCAATTAACGCCTCTCTCCTATTAAGCTCTTTAGATTGAACACGCTGTCTCTCTTTCTCCTCCCCTCCCCTTTTCTCTCCTTAATATAATAGAATAAATTTAACAAATAAATAGAATAAAGCGAGTAAGAGTAGAACAAAAAAAACCGTTTAAAAAACCGTAATTTTTACGGTTTCGGTTTTTTTTTACTGGTAAAAAAATCGAAACTGAAATCGGAGCATTTAATTGATATTTTATTAAACCGGAACCGGAATCGATCCAAAAAAACCTTTTGATCCGGATTCCTAGTTCTTGCTTTATAATTGCATTAGAACGCATGCAGGTAATACATCGTAACTGTAGCTCCATTATCAGTAATTATTTCTCGATATTTTAAGTAAGCGGTTTAACGTGACAAAATAAGAATATTTAAGCGTTAAAGCGCCTCACGCTGATAGGAGGCTGCGCCTTCCTGGTAAAGGCGATCAATCGCTGATGATCCTCGCGTCGGCTACAAGCCGGCGCTGTTCGTCATAAAATTTTCTCTAGCGACTAAACTGGAGTAATAAGTATGACAAGGGCTCAAAGGAGATTGCTGTTCCGCATGCAAATATGATTAGTTCCGGCGCGTAACTTCATTTGCGTATATTAAAAGCGCGGATAGCTCACTTTATGCAAACGACGACGGGATGGGCGTCGAGAATAAGGAAGGAGGGATGGGGAGGGAATATAAGTAGAGAGAGCTGTTGAGGGAGACGAAGAGAGCAGGGGAAAAAAAAATGTTTCGCGAAGAATTATAAAGAGCAAGAGAAGCCGTGCTTGGTGGAGAATGGACGAACCGGGAGCGAAGCGGAAACAGGCGCGAGAAGAGAGACGTGGCGTCCTTTTCTACATCCTGATTGTTGGTCGTTAAATGTTCCGGCCGCGCGCTCGACGCCTTGCATTTAAGCGTAACGTAACTTCGTAGAGAATGGTAATCGCGTGTCATCCGGTGCTCTCAAAACTGCATCAAGCTATAAGCTTCTCGTACGGGAAAAAAAAGAAAGAGACATTAAAAGAGAGACTCTGTATTTCTAGTTCGTCTCTGTCCACGGCCTGGCGTTCATTTGTCAAACGTTCGTATCTGCCAACGTGGTAAAGCATGACAGAAACCAAATATGCTTGATACTGCACGGATACACGGTTTTTTCAAGCCAATGCGGCAAACCTCCGACGTCCTATTTACGCCCATCTCTTTCTCCAGTAACTCAAAATCCGACACAGTGTCATTCGATGTCGTGTTTATTTGTCACAATGCCCGGCATCGAGCGATCAGAATGACGATGGGTTCTAATAAAAAAACCGATACAGTTGAAGCCGGCGCATCTATCGTATTTCCCCGGCTGTATTTGATTCTCTCCTTTTATTGTCAATGTCACGCAAACGACAGTACACGACGGTAAAATTTCTCTCTTAATGGAAATGTGCCAAAAGACTTGGAAACTGCATCCCGTACCATCTGCCCCATTCTATCGCTCGGACGGAACTCGGATTTCGCAAACGCGAACGCTGCGTTCAGCTCGTCCGTAGCGGAAGCGGAATATCCGGGGCATCGTGTCGAAAATGCGGAATTAATCCGCTTCTCGCTTTTTGCCCTCCGCAGTCGTGCTGTCGCGCGCGTTTTCTCTGGCGTTTCGCATCGAGTGGCGACGATTATTGTCGCCGCTAAACGCGCCCAGGCTGCAGCCGGAAACAATTCGGGGGTCCGCGAGTCGCCGGATTAGCAAACGCAAGCCGCCCGCCATTCTCTCGGTTCCCGTTTCCCGTCGCATTCAATTCGCTTCCCTCGCATCCACCTTTCCTCCCGAATACCAACGAGTCGTGCTGCATATACGGTAATACGTATGAAACTATTTTGCTTAATGAAGCACTGTTAAAACTTTCTCCAATAGGAACCTCCGAAATCCCGGGTTTCGCTTAGACTTCCGTGATTCTCGACTTCGTCGTCGGATCCTTCGGACGCCGGTAGATATTCCGAAATTGTGTGCAGCATATTCCGCCGACTAATAATTTTATCTTGGTATGTACGGCCATTCGATGCTGGGAAATCAATGACTATTGTGATACAATATAGTGGATATAAAAAAAGTGACGCCAATTAGCCGGAAGTGGCCATTTTGTGTCCTATATCTGAGATATTTATATGACGCAATTCCTCGTCTTAACTTTTTCTTTCTTTAACGTTGTTTTTTTTCTAACTAACTGTAAGGATACTTAATGGCGGAGCCAATCAGCATTAGGCACATGCACTTTTTTGCGCCACTCTCTTTATACCCACTCTAGTACGATATAAGACAGAGCACCACATAAAACATTTAGGCTGGGTTGTTTCATCTTTCGGTAAACTTCAACTCACTGTCTTATTCTCTTACTCTCTTATTCTCTTATTCTTTTACTTTTTTGTTTATCTAGTAGATAAATCATTATATATTAGGTGTTGGAATTAATTCGTAGCGTTTTTTAATGAAAGAATGTTATTTATTTCACATGAGCATTAAAAAATACATTAATGAAAGTACTTCCCATTACTTGTAAAACGCTACGAATTAATTCCAACACCTAATAGTTTA